AGTTGCTCTGCCCCGGGCTTCCTGGAATCAGCTGCTGATCAGTTTCAGCAGCAGCTGACTTGGGGACGCCTGGGGTTCTTAAGTTGATTCTGTATGTAAGTCAGAACTGGCGGTCAGTTTCAGCAGTGTCTGAATCTGGACGCCAGTTCCGACTTACATACAGATTCAACTTAAGAACAAACCTACAGTCCCTATCTTGTACGTAACCCGGGGACTGCCTGTATTTAGTTGCTGAATGTCTCTGCAGTTTTCCTGGTTTCACACTTCCTTTCATTAAAGCAATGAAAACAAACACACTATGGCTCTGGTCTTTCCACAGTAATACCGAGACACAAAAATCAAAACATAATGTAACTATGATCATATTGTCTAATTTTCTTCTATTTCCTTTTAACTTTATTAAAACCATGATCTTCAGCCAAACATTTACTACATGTAGGCTTAGAACTTGGTAAAAATCATTCCACAAGGAAGACAAGCCACACAAGCTAACCCTTACGCTCTTTTTCCCATCTGTGTGTGCTGATACAGTTGATGTCAGCAGTTGAAACTATCTTTGCCCTCTACTCCAGCAGGGAGTTTACATTGGAGAGACTTCACAATGAACATTTTTCCTCAGGAGGAATCGAGGGCAAAAAGCAGCAGCTGCACAAGACAGACCCATAGGTAAGATGCAGATAATTTTTAGGCATAGTTTAATGGTCCCTTAATTAGAAACACAAAAGCAGGCATATCAATTAAAATCTTTTCCCAAACACTTATGGCTGCCCCGTGAATTCTTTGTGGCTCCCCAATGGAGCCATGACTCACACTTCGAGAAACACTGTACTAGAACAACTAATAGAGTTTTTTGTAAAATCTCCGAGGTAGTCATATTTGAATTTCTATTAAAAATAATAAATGATAGCGTCTTTAGGGAAGGAATCGATTAAAATGTATATATTTGACCGTCCCAACAATTTCTGTTTTCACTTAAACAACAAACCGCCAGTCTCTTCAAAAAATTAACTGCATATGAATTATTACTATGAAGTAGTTTTCACATATCACTCACTTCTAAACATGATTTCACAGAATTTAGTACCAGAGATCAAAGTGAAATAGACAAACATTATATGTTACATTTTCTGTAACACATTCTACTTCCTTGCTCACATACACAATTGTCCTCTCTCAAAAAATTAAAATTCAGTTTTACTTGAGATAAAGAGCAATTATTAAAATTAAATTCTAACCAACTTAATTGATCAAGAGCTGAAGTTGACCAAAGCATGGATCTATGCAGGCTGCTTTCATGTTCCAGTAATGGAACCTTTTAAAAATAAAACAAAGATTTCTTGCTTTATACACAGATTGTTCAAAAATGAAAAAAAAATCAAAACAAATCTTTCATTTACCTCTTTTTGTAAGATTTCTTCTCGCATTTGTGAAACTGAAAGGGCTTCTTGATTTCTGTTCAGCTCATTAACTTGTTCTTGTAGATGTTTTATTAAGATCTAAGGAAGTATTTTAAATATTCCTCATTAACACTGTCAGGTTTAAAAACCTTCAAAATAATCAGATCATTTCTTGAATATTGATACTGAAATAGACAAAAGCATTTCTCTAATCTTAATATTATTAGTAATTATATTGTACCTTATGTTAGGCAAAGGATAATAGACACACAATTAGTTGACCATGTATAGATTTGAATTTAAAATAGTCCCATATCCATTTTTATGCCATTTCTTTCCATTTTATTATGTAATATGAACATTATTTCTTGAGCAAGTCCCATTTCTGAAAGAATATGGCATAATTTAAAATATTTAATTTCTAAATCATCACAAATGTTGACCATTTCCTGTTAAAATCATTGTTAATAATGCTTTCATTAGGTCTATAAAAGTATAAATGTGCAACTGTTTATTTTACTTCTTGTCTTGAAATTTTGCTGTTGAGTTCAGCTACTTTAGAAGCAGAATGTTCCATTGCATGCTGACAAAGAATTTTCTCTATTTCTCTCTGGTGGGATGCTTTTAGAGCTGCAATGTATTCTGCTGTGTCTTCTTTTGTCCTGTAAAAGAAAACTAAGCATATAACTGTTCCTCAGAATTGTTGCAACAAAATTTTACATGCTTATACATTTAAAATAATTAAATTATAGGCCCCATAAAAAAAATGTTACTTAACCTTGGTAACTGTTCTTCTTCTTCTGTTGCTCATGTCAATTCCATGTAGGTGTGTGCGCACTGCGTGCGTGTTGTCACAAGTTTTTTCCCTTAGCAGCACCTGGTGGAGCAGCAAGGGAGCTCCCTGGAGTGGCTCTGCTAGATCCGCTAATATATATTCCTGCCGGCCCTCCACCCCCTCGGTTCCTTCTTACTGGACTACTCTGAAGAAGGGGAGGCAGGCGGGCCGGATTTGGAATGGATATGAGCAAAACACCGCAAAGAACAATAGTTACAAGGTAACTGTAGAAGTAACTGTTTTTTCTTCTTCAAGTGATTGCTCATGTTCATCCCACATAGGGACTCCAAAGCAGAAACCCTAGGAGGTGGGTTGGAGTCTTGACCTTCAACTGAGCAGAGGACAGCCTTACCCAGGGCTGCGTCCTCCTTAGCCTGATGGGCCAGTACATAATGATTGGCAAAAGTGTGGACTGAAGACCTCATGGCGGCCCTGCAGATTTCCAGGATCAGGACCTGAGCCACAAAGGCTGTGGCAGAGGCCTAGGCCCTAGTGGAGTGGGCCATGTGTGGAGGAGCTGGTACTCAGGCCAGCCCACAGCACTCCTTGATACAGGACGTAATGCACGAGGAGATCCTCTGTGCAGAGACCTGCTGTACCATCGGCTGTTCCGCAGTTGCTATAAAAAGCTGTGGAGACCTATGGAAGGGCTTTGTTCTTTCTAAATAAAAGGCTAAGGCTCTCCTAACATCTAACGTGTGTAGTGCCTGTTCCTTGCCCAAAGCATGGGGCTTTCGGGAAAAAAAAACGGGATAAAAATGTCCTGAGACACATGAAAGTGAGACACTATCTTGGGAAGGAAGGCGGGACAGGGGCATAACAGGATCTCGTCCTTGAAGAATACCGTATAATTGGGGGTCTGATGTGAAAGCCCTCAGTTCCAACACGTGTCTGACCGATGTGATAGCCACTAGAAAAGACAACTCCAGGAGAGGTGTAGCAGTGAACATCACCAGGGGCTCGAAAGGGAGCCCCATGAGCCTGGACAGAACTAAGTTAAGGTCCCAACTGAAGGAACGGGCTGACACACATGCAGGTAAAATCTGTCCAAAACCCATTAAAATCTGTGGACGATAGGGATGCGTGAAGAGTGCCGTGTTCCTAGAGCCTGGGTGATAGGTGGAAATAGCCAGCAGGTGAACCCTGATCGATGAGGAGGACAGCCCCTGGACCCTGAGGTCGAGGAGGTGGTCCAGAACTAGTGGGACCAAAAGGCTATGAACTCCCCGAGCAGCCCAAATGGAGAAGCACTTCCATTTAGCCAGATAGGCGGCCCTAGTGGAAGATTTCCTACTTCCCAGCAGGACTTCCTGAACCCGCTCCGAGCGCTGGAGCTTTCAGGACATTAGGTGGAGGGACTGTAGGTTTGGGTAGTGAAGCTTGCCGAAGTGCTCAGTTATGAGGTCTGGGTGCAGGGGGAGAGGAATCGGCTTCCTGCATGACATGTTTAACAGGGACATGAACCAACGCTGTCTGGGCCAAGCCGGCGCTATGAGAATGAGGGAGGCCCTGAATTCCCTCACTTTCAGAAGCACCTTGCACCCAGAGTGTTCTGGGTCCCAGGGAGATGGGATGTGACTGGGTGAACATCCACTCAGATGCAGAGTTCCAAAAGCCAGAGGGCTTCCTGGCACAGGGGAGGGGAACATGCTTCCCCCTGCCTGTTGAAATAGGCGACTGCCATTGTACTGTCCGACAGGATGAGGACTGTCCTGCCCGAGGCGGAGAAGGAAAGTCTGGCATGCGAGGCAAACAGCCTGCAGCTCCCTGACATGGATATGCAGGGAAAGTTCCTCCTGTGATCACATACCTTGCGTCCTTAGGGTGTGTCTAGACTACATGGCTCCATCAACGTATCTTGAGTAGAACCCGTTGCCCCTGAATTCCTGAGGGACCGTTTCGGCAGCTCCCAGTCTTAGGAGCTGTTGCACCTCCTCCCTGAGGAGATGCTTGTTAGTGGGGACCCTGAAGAGGGACGGAGTAGGGCAAGTGGAAAGAGGGAGATTGAGAAGAAGGGGATGGCAGGAGTCTTGTGGTACCAGCTCGATTAAATTGTCCATTGCGGCCCAGATGTTATAAGCACAGTACCTGCTGAGTCGCTATGTGGAGTTGAAGGTCCCCGGAAGCATATGCTTTCCTGCCCAGGAGATTGGCCTTCTTGGCATCCCTGCTCTTGGGGGTTGCGCCTGGTTCTCTCTCTTGTTGGTTAGCTGCCTGAACCACTAGGGATCCTAGAGGGGAATGAGAGAAGAGATGCTCAATCCCTTCTTGTGGGACAAAATAACAGCACTCAGCCGTCTCATTGGTAGGCGGAATGGAGGCCAGAGCCTGCCAGTGTCTTTGTGATCTTTGTCATGGTTTTGTTCACTAGTAGGGCCACCCTGGCGGGCATATCAGCCTGCAGCATGTCGACAGTCAGGTCCTAGTCATCTGTCACTTCTTCAGCCTCTACCCCTAGACTCTGTGAGTCTAAACCAATAGGGAATTAAAACCAATAGTAAACCTTGCAAAGGGAATTAAAACCAATAGTAAAAGGTTTTATAGCCATATAAATAGGAAAAAAACAAAAAAAGAAGTAGGACCGCTAATTACTAAGGATGGAGTGGAGGTTAAGGATAATCTAGGAATGGCCCAATATTTGAACAAATACTTTACTTCAGTCTTTAAATGGTAACTTAACAAATGTGACTAAAGATATGGAGGTAGATATTACCATATCCGAGGTAAAAGCCAAACTTGAACAGCTTAATGGGAGTAAATCGGGGGGCCCAGATAATCTTCATCCAAGAATATTTAAGGAACTGGCACATGAACTTGCAAGTCCATTAGCAACATTTTTTAATAAACCTCTAAACTCAGGGGTTGTACCATTTGACTGGAGAATTGCTAATATAGTTCCGATTTTTAAGAAAGGGAAAAAAGCGACCCAGGTAACTATAGACCTGTTAGTTTGACATCTGTAATATGTAAGATCCTGGAAAAAATTTTGAAGGAGAAAGTAGTTAGAGACATTGAGGCTAATGGCAATTGGGACAAATTACAACATGGTTTTACAAAAGGTAGATGTGTCAAACCAACCCGATCTCTTTTTTTGAGAAAGTAACAGATTTTTTAGATGAAGGAAATGCAGTGGATCTAATTTACCTCGACTTTAGT